GGTTAAGACAGATAAATCTAATATGAAGTGGATGTGAATCTAGAAGAGGCAGAGATCCAGCTTGAGGTGACTTGGAGTGATAACCCATACAGACTGCTACAGAAGAAGTCCAAGAACTGAGCTTGCATACTCCACTTATAAGAGATTCACAAGGTGATGGGAAACCAGCAAAGAAGGACCCATAAGACAGGAGAAAAACAAGATTCTTGGAAGAAACAGAAGAAAAGTTTTTGAAGAAAAGAGTATTATCCAAAATAGCTAATAAGTAAGATGAGGACTGAGACCTCACCACAGAATAGAGCAACACAAGGTAACCAAATCTAGATTTAAAAAAAAAAAAAAAAGAAAAAAAAAAAAAGCAACATGGGTGCACGGATGAAGGAGAATGCTTACTTGGAATAAACTTTCTAGGAATTTTACAACACAGAAAATCAAGTTAACAGTGGGAGAGAAGTGGAACGTCAAAGGCTAGTTGGAAGTACTTTTCCCTCATTTGGAATTTGAAGAAATAATGGTAACATGGTAATGAAACTGAGTATGGCACAGAGATAGGGTCTGGTGCTTCTGGGAGGGCTGGCCTTTTGACAGCAGTGTCTGTTCATCTGGTAACAAGAAAAGCAGATTACATGAGGACAGATTTGGAGAGGAGAATGCAGACAGCATGAGTCTGAGGAAGTCCTCTTCTGATGTCTTCAATTTTTTCAATAAAGCAGGAAGCACAAGTACCAGCTGAGAGAGGCTGAAGGAGGCCATACTACAGCTCAAGGTCCAAAGATAAAAAGAGGTGGGGAGTGTAGAGAATGGGAAGTGAAAGGGCTAATGATATGATTGCTGAGAAGTATCAGGCTTGACTGAAGGTTCAAGACTTTGAGTTTAAAACCATGACAAGAAATTTCTTTCTTCAACATAGTTAGTGTTCGTTCTCCTACATCAAGTTAATCAATGAACTGCTATAAGCAGAACACAGCATCTCAATGTCTTTGACGCTTTCAAAAACAAATGCATAGAGTCAGCCAAACAGGCACAGGGGCTAGAGGTTCAATCCCTGGGCCTTCCATGCTGGCCCTACCTCCAGGGCGCACTGAGATAGAGACTGAGACTGGGCATGGTGGCACGTGCCCATAATCCCAGCTCTTGTGAGGCTGTAAACAGGCAGATCACTACAGTCCAATCTAGTAGTGAGACCCTAAACAGCATGTAGACCCTTCCCTAAAATAAAAAGGCACTATTCAATGTCATATGGTAATTATTTTGCAAAATCAGTGTATCGAAAGATATATGCTAAGAGACTGTCATTTCCCAAAGTATAACTGGAAGATAAACTTAGAAAGTAACATGATGATCATGTCCAAAAATCTTACCCACTCAAAAGATTCTACCATGAGCTACCTTTCTCCTAGGAAGCCCATGAAGGATCCTTATTTTTTCCCTGAATGTAATATGAAGTAATATGAATGTACTATGAAGTAGGTAGGTACCCTTTATTTCATTTTTCATACTTACATCACAGAGATTCAAAATCATAAATGATGGCAGTTTATACTGCCATGAAGCTTAAAGGTATGGTCAGCCTTCCTTACTAATTAAAAACAAAGACTCTCACACTTTCCCAGCTGTTAAAACTAAAACTACCTATTTTCCTATTTACACATCTGAGATATCTTCTCTTTTCATAGCCAGCTGAAGTATTATAATTTAATAAAACAAAAGCAAAAAATATGACCGAAGTTTCTAATTATCATTATAATTAAAATTAACCTTTGAAATTCTTAGAATTGCACTGATAGTTATTTTATATTCAAATAACTTGATAATAAAATTGAAGTATATGAGGCTGGCGAGATAGCTCAGCAGTCTAAACAACCTGCTTAGGCAAGCTTACGCAGGTGCAGGGGACCGAGATTCAATCGCAGGCACCACATGCTGTGCCAGCCCTACTACCTCCAGGGTGGGCTGAGCTGGCCAAATAAATAAATAAATAAATAAAGGAAGTATATAGGTTTCTTCACACAACAGCCACAAATCAAAATCTCATAAAATGTTATAAATTTCCATTGTTCAGTCAACCCTAAGCAGAAGCTGTTCTTTCCTAGTTCCATCATCAGGCATACAGTGAAAAGCATTTTACTATTTCTATCACCATCTTTTTTTCTAAATGTATTTGGTTGTTGCAAGGTCTCCCTGTGTAGCTTAGACTAGTGGTGATCCTCCTGTTTTCAGCCTCCCCAGTGCTGACCCCCCTGCCCCCAGGCATGGCATGGGGCTGACGTGACCTGTGGTGCTGGAGATTCAACTGCTGGTTCCTGCACTTTCCTAAACAGGCACTTTAGTCCACAGAGCTATCTTACCACCCCCTATATCACCATCTTTTATATAATCTGAATTAAAAAACAATTAAGCCCATTTTTCTATGAATAAGTGTCTAAAAGCAATAAAAACATATCCTGTCAGTATCCTGTAGACTTCAGTGAAATGAAGAAGGCAAAGTTGATAAAAAGTTCCCCTAAGTTCAAGAGAATGACAGTACCATAAAAGATATTAAGATACATAAATTTTAACTCTAAAACTTAAAAAAATAATTCATACCATAGTAAAAATGAGACCACATAGCAAACATTATGAGGTTAGAGTATCATCTTGCAACAAGACAAAGAAAAGATATGCTAGAATGTATATCACTTATTATAACAAAGAATTGGTATTTGACACTTAGAAAGCTTACTTTCTTAGTTTTCTATTTATGGCCAGACTCACATTAGCATAACAAAAGTGAAGGAAGTCTCTGGGCTAGCCATATGTTGCCATATCAGCCCTATTATTCAGGCCAATGGTGTGGAACAAAACAAAAGAAGGTTGTCAACCCTGAGCAGAAGCTGTCCTTTCCTAGTCTTTTAAAATAATGCTAGAGAGTGATAACATTTTTCAAAGACTTAATAAGCAGTAACGTCTATGAGCTCTTGTCAGGTAATCTTTCTTTCACTGTCTCACACCATCAGTCTGAAGGCAGAGAGGAAAAGAAACTTCGTTTCCCTTCCCCCACTTGCTGCAAAGCAGCTAGATCCTGGAATGACACTTGCCTATTTCCAACAGTGAAATAGGTCCACCCACACAAGAGCAGCAGCAGGAGGCATAAACGAGAGGAACAGTGTGAAAAGAAATGCAGAACCATTTCTATAATTTTGAAATTTATACTGTGTGGTGGCCTAGTGTCTCATAAGAAAACACTACTTTCATTTTTGCCTCCTAGTGCTTCTCCGACCTTTCCTGGTTGGTGAGTCAGTAGGAGGGAAAAATGAAAGTATTTGTAATTTTTTCTTTGAAACACAGGGCTATTCAAAACTGAATTTCAAAATCATAACATGAACTATCTAATTTTTAAGTGCTCTTTTACTGTCTTCACTAGAAATATAATGTAAAACAGTATTGTGTATATGTGGGAAACATAATTATGACACTAACATAATTGTATTGAGTAGAATGGTTATTATAATCTTGTGAATGATTTATGATGATTCTACAGAATCAGACATAGATTTAAAAAACACTCTTGAGATTAAAAATATTGGCCTTATTTTAAAGTATTCCTCAACTCAAAAACTGCAGACTAAGTAAACAAAGAAGAGCATTGTAAAAGTGCGCTTAAAGGTTGATTTAAACATTTTAGATTTAGGGAGGGAGTTCCTGGTTAGTTTCTGTCATATATTTGTATCCAGCCTCAGCTGTGTGAGAAAATAAAGTAACACAGGGCATCCAGAGCAACAGCCTTTCCCTAATGGAAATGGAAATTTTAACCTTACAGAAGAGATAAAGAAAATATCCATACCAAAAAAGAAAAAAGAAAATATCCATACGAAAATGACACAAAGGCACCATAGGTATGCAAAAGAGAGATGCAACGAATAACCATGGAGTTGCTCTTCCAAGGGAAACCAGCACATTTAAAATCTCAGATAAAGTATGATGACGCAGGCAGCATTTTACATGGTTCTTGAAGGATGGCCAGTATTTTAGAAATTATAGTCTAACATGGAAAATGAGCAATGTCACAGAAGCAGAAAAGACTGCCTAGTTTTTTTTGTAGACTGTACTTTCTGAATTGTGCTTCTAGGGGATGTTAATACCTCCATTTAAAAAAAAAGGATTCCACAAATGAGAAAGTTTGCAACACTATACCCTGCATCTCTCTTTAAGCTTTATTTACAAAACTCATTGGTGTAAGAAAGGTCTTAGAGAGGTACTTCCATAAATAACTGTTTACTCCAAGTCTACAAACCTATTTAACTACAGGTCTCTTTCACAAGGTCAGTTCCTCAAACACTTTTAGAAATACAGTTCAAGCAAAACTGTAATGAAGCCAACACAATGTATTTGAAATTCATTGTAGAATTCTTTAAATATCAAGCTGAGAAAGTCTTTATGAGAGACAATAAACACGAGGGGGCCTGGCCCTACATAAGGATAGTTACTTTGAACATTTCATTAAACACTTAGCTTTACAATAAGCATTAACAAACTTGGGTTACTAAGTGACTTTTAGTACTATGTATACATTTGTTACTGAAACTTTAATTTCATAAGGAATCAAATAACAGGAGAAATAACACTACCAGTTAGAAAGAAAAGCAGCAATAATGCAATAATAAAGCAATAATATGGGCAAGCTATGACCAAGGAATTAAGCACAAAATATACAGAGTCTTCCAAAAAACCTTGGCACATCTTTTTTCTTTGTTTACACCTACTATTGTAATGTAATAACCTTGAAATCCTGTCATTCAAATAAAGTTAAAAGCTAAAGCTGCTCTTTTATTTTCACATATAGTACTAAGAATTATGAAACTTTTAAAACAATTCTAACAAAAGCTTAGAAATAATTTTAGGCCACTTTATTTCATAAAGGAACTATTAATGTACTATTTCTCATATATATATACATATATGTATATATATATACACACACACATACGTGTATATATATTCTTTTAAGCAGAATGAATTACCTGTGGCTGGAACTGAGGAACAGGGGGCCCCTGCATTCCTTGTGATTGTTCATCCATTGTTGGAAGCAACAGAAACTTCAAAATTCTGCAAAAATGTAAAGTTGAAATTTAATATAACAATTACTAATTCATGTCACTTATCACATACCTGGCACAAGCTTTCAAATATGATTTACATGATGTCAAAAATTATTAGCTAATACAACCCCAACGCTCATTTGTGCCATTTGCTAAATCCCAGATGTTTAGTTCGCAAATACTCTGTCTCAACCATTCCTACTTCTCCAAAGTAACTGAGATGAAATTCTCTCTCCTCCATTCTGCCTTACAGGTCAATGATATGCCCCTATAACCTGCGCAAGATAAAAAACCATGTAAAGCTCCCTATAACCATGCTCAATACCTGACATCCTAAATTGCACCTTACCTCCTTATTCTAAAATGCTGGCACATGATACTTTCATCTGAGGGTGATGTTTACTATGAGTTTTAGATTTAAAGTCAAAAGGCCACTCCTTGTGTAAGGATGCTGTCTTTAATGTATACACTATAATTATGAAACATTCACCCACTAATTCAGTAAACATATGCTAAAGACTCATTACATATCAGGAACATCACCAAACAGGAGAATCTAAGCGCTACCCTTGCACAGATTCTACTAAATATCAAATATCTCCAATTCTATGAATGTTATTATATAACTGAAATCTTTGGAGTTAAAAGTTAGGATTCCTATAAACAAAATTAACTGACTAAACAAAGCGTATCTTAATTATACTCTTTAAAAAACAATAAAAATGTTTTGGATATGGGTCACTTTTATTGAAGTGGAAGTATCTTTTCTTCACTCTGGAATTTATTTTTTCAATTAATTAATGAAAAAACTTAATGCAGTCTAAGCTAACTTTCATATTTAGATTTACAATGCAAATAGTTTTTTGTATGATATAAGGCAAGTTCAATAATTTGTTTTCACTTATGGATACCCAACTGACCTCCAATCAGTGTGTGCGTGTGTACGAGCACACACATGAGCATGCATGCACACGCACTCAGGGCATTCTCACTGAACTGCATCCATAGCTCATTAAAAAAACAAAACAACAGCAGCAGCAGCAACACTTGAGACAAGGTCTCCCTTCATTACTATATTGTCCAGGCTGCACTCAAACATGCAGGCTTCTTGCCTTAAACTCCCAGAGCGCTTAACCACAAGCCATGTGGTGCCATTCTTTATTAAGGTCTCCCTTTTCCAGGATTGATTAATTTATGCTTTTGTGGAATCATGGGTTCACTGTCCATTCAATGTGAGGACCTCACATTGTTCTTTTTTGTCTTCTGATACAACCAGGTATTTCAGGTTAAGTGTTTACACTCCCAACACTGACCCTAGAACCACCCATTTCTTCAAAGGTCCTTGATCACTTTCAGCAGAAAATGGTTTTACAAATCAAATGTAGTGAATGCTAAGCTAGTATTTATAACTATAAATTATGAAACTAGTATATTTGTCCTCTTTAAAGACCTGACACTTACCTTAGTACCTCTTAAAATTTACCCATTACATTAAGAAATATAAGAATGAGCTATTGGCTCTAAACAAATCCTCTTTGCATTATCTGGTACAGATATCACTTTGCTTGATTATGGAAAATACTGGATGACTCAGTTAAATGGAGACTGAAGGAAGGGTGAAGTCAGGAATACTACTGCTGAAAGATGACTCGGGGCCAAGGAAAACATTTAGTTCCGTATTTGAGCATTCAGATCCTGCCAAGTAGCCACCCTAAAATTTCCATTACGTTATTCATTTTTTAAGTATCCTATATACATACACATATAAGTAACTCAGAAACTTTTCTTTTGGCTGAGAATAGTGTTGCTATTTGTCTATTTTATCTTTCTACTCTGTTCCTCAAAAAATATAGTGGTCTTGATCAATAAAGTACAATTTATAAATATTCTCATAGACTAATGTTCATATATATACTATATATGTGTGTATATACATATAACTATATATACACATATATATACATATATATGCATATATATATATAACTAAAGATTTTATGAATAATCTCAATGACTAAAGGGAAATGTCACTTCAAGAAAAGGAAACAAATTTTTACTACCATACTTAAACACTTTGGAATTCTGAAAAATCTAAAAAATCTTCCTAAACTATTTGAAATTCTCTTTGAATTTGTAAGCACAATTTCATATTTAAGATCTCATACTGCATCAAGAAACTGACTATTGAAATACACACTGTCAAACAGAAAAAAGAAGTCTTTAAGGAACACAATTTATGGGTATCCTTTATTTGTTAAATGAGGTTTATTTTAAACTTTAAATTGTTAGAGGTAAATGTGGACAATTATGAGATTAAAATTTATATCATGCTTGTTTTTCTTTTGCAATGACTGAATCATTTTTCTTTAGCTAAACAAAGGTTTTTAATCTCAAGGCTACTTATAAAGAAGTTTTTGAAAAATAATTATCACAATTAAAACATAGAAGTTATTTTTCTTAAAGATATTTTTAACACATCACCTTTTTTCTTTAATTCTCTTTAAACCTGTATTTTGTAATTGGTTAATAACTGGGTCAATGGTTTAAAACGTATATTGGTTTATGAGGTCATTTTCTGCAAATTTTTTTCCTTTGATTTTTTGAGATATGGTCTGGCTATGTATTCAGGCTACTTCTCGGCCTCAACCTCCCCAAGTGCTGGGATTACAAGCTTGTGCCACCACAACCTGCTCGAAAATATTACATTTTTAAAAATGAAACTCAATGAAAATATGTCTATAGCTGTTGGGCAAAATTTCTTATTTTGACTAAGATTTTGGCTAAGGTGAGTACAGTAACTAGTTGTTTCATTTAAATAATTGGGAAGAAAAATGTACAGCATGATTTAATTTGCTAATAATTATCTCAGATATTCATTTTAGAAATTTGGCAATTAAATATGGAAACTAGGAAAAGTATTTTTTATGTAAGCAATGATACTATATTATTCCAGTGTTTAAATTAACATAGTTATCTAATACAGCACCACTGGGTACTATATTATAATTATTATTTTAAAATACTTAATATTTTTGTTTTATGGCCTTATCAGGGTCATAAATATCAGAGCATATAAATGTCAGTTCATTGGCAAACTTGAGTTTTTAAGACTAAATGGTTGGTGTCTATTCACAACTTAGATTCATAATTTTGCACTTTTATTTTCTGTTAAATCGCCACAAAAGGGAGAACTACTGTATTTTAATATGTACTAGTTTGTGGATATTTGTGAAAATACTTGTTGTATTTCAAAAATTTGGGGCCACTATAATATCCTTAACACTATTTTCAATAACAGTAAAAGGTTTTAGCTATTAAACACAATTACTGCTTTGAGAATTACAAGACACTTCCTTGGCAAAAAAAGATTCTACTTGGCAAATGTAGACTATTAGAAAACTTTTTAAATATAGTGTTTTTCTTAATAATTCATAATTAGATTTTCCAATATCATTCCCATCAATTTCTTTACTTTTGTGTGTGTGTGTGTGTGTGTGTGTGTGTGTGTGTGTGTGGTACCAGGGATTTAACTCAGGACCCTGTGCTTGCCAGGCAAGCACTTCTACTGAGCTATCTCCCTGGACCCTCTTTGCCCTTTCTGACACACACCATGTTTTTATTTCTTGTCTTAGCTACTTCCAAAGTAATCAGCCTGTGCTATCTCCCCTAAGTTAAAATCATTAACTGTTCTTTTATACCACCAACCATACCTTGTCATTCAGAGTCTCAAAGTCTAATCACAAGCAACTCAAACTTGCCCTCTATTCCCCATTTCCATTCACATTTCATTCACTGAACAGCTGTTAAGGGCTCTTTCCATGCCAGGTACTTGTTAAGGAACACTTAAAAAGAGTTCTTGCCCTCAGGTTCCTTACAGGATGGCAGTGAAGATGCACAACAAGTAAAAATATAAGACAATTACAAATAATTATAGTTTCTGTGTAGAAACAATGGAGTGATGATGTGGAAGATAAAGGAAGGGGTAATGGAAAAAAGGTACTCACACAGACAGAGTACATACATTAAGACTGACTTGGTGCTAGTCATTCAGAGTTTATGGGCCTAAATGAGAGCAAATTCAAAGGCCCGGGTGCAAGCAAGCATTATCTAGGTTTTAAGAACCAAAGAGAGTTCAACATGCTTGAAAGGTACTCAGTGAGAGGGACTAGGCTGAGCTAATGTGTGAGACACAGGCAGAAGATTAATTACAGAACCTTGCAATATTTGGCAAAGAATTTGGATTTTACTCTAAAAGAAATGCAAGTGTCATGATTTGATTCATATTTTTAAAACAGCACCATAGTGCTGGAGAGTGGTGGAGAAAGAAACCAATTAACAGGCTATTAAAGTACTATCAAGGAGAGATATGGCAGCTTATTGTGTTAGTGGTAATAGAGAAATAACAACAATAGAGATGTGTTTTGGAAACTAAACAAACAGTAACTGCAGCTGAGTTGAACAAAGAAAAGAGGAAGAACAAAAGATGTATTTTAGATATTTTTGGTTTTATTTTTTGAAACATGATTTCACTATACAGCCCAAGGACTCCTGCCTGAGCCTCTCTACTGCTAAGAGTAAGAAGTGCGCTTCTATCACACTTAGCCTTTTTAGATTTTTAACAAAAGCAATTTTTATCAGTGTGATAAGCTGACTTCTGGGGAAGGGATGCCTAAGGGGATGAGTGGGATTCTTAAGACCCTTTTATATGTGGCCTTGAAAACCAAAATAAACTTGAAAAATGCTAACATTATTTGTAAAATTACTGGTGCCTTAATTTGAATCAGTACAGTAATCAAAAAACTGTACTAGTTACTGTACTGTATACCTGTTGTACACTTAATAAAAATCTAATTTGCATTTAAAAAGAGCTGTGGATGTAGCTCCATGGTAGAGCAGTTGCCTAGTATGTGAGGTCCTGGAGTTGATTCCCAATACAAAAGTAATGAGGAAAAGACAGGGAAGAAGGCAGGCAAGGGATAGAAGGAGAGAAGAAAGGTGAAGTGATAA